AGAAGCCCATGGAGCTTCGAAAGCTTGCAATAAGTATATTGTGCATTTGGGTTGGCCAATAAAAGTATCACTGTTGGGTGGATTTTTGTTTGAATCAGACTTGATTGTATATTAGAGAAGCCAATAGATTATGATATACTGTAATAAATATAATATAATTGTAATAAAAAAACACCTTTGCACTTTTCCTCCCCAAATAGGGTGACCGAAAAGGAAAAAGGAGGATGTGACCATAATACAAAGCGGAAAATACATATGACAGGCTTCATCCGCACTGGCGAAATAATCCGGTTAAATCCCAGTTTAAAGAGCAGGGGAATTCTGGGAAGTGTAGTTTTATTGAGGCACGAGAGCTTAGCCCTAGGCTGCATCTGCACAGAAGCAATAACCCAGTTTGGAACTACTTTAACTGCCTAGGCTCCATGCTATGGGATCCTGGGAGTTGTAGTTTTTCGTGGCCCCAGAGCCCTCAGACAGAGAAGGCTCAATGTCTCTCAAAACTACAGTTTCTCAAAATGCCATAACAGGGAGCCAGGTCAGTTAAAGCGTTCTCAAACCGGGTTATTTCTGCAGTGCAGATGCAGCCACAGAACTAGAAAGTTGTGTCGCTTAAAGTCATGCTCCAAATGAAAGATTTTTTAAAACATCCCTTTCCCGGGCAGAGGGCTAGAAATGGAGGGCATGTCCGAGAAATGGAGGAGACCTGGTCCGGGAAATGGAGGGCTCTAGTCCGGGAAATGGAGGACGACTGGTCCTCCCAAAGGAAAGCGTGAAAAGCAAGAGAGAAACTATCAGGAAAGAATGAAGTCTGTGGCTGAGAGTTGGTAACTTTACAGTTCCTGTTTGTGTTTGCCCTCAACTCGTTTCCGATTTATGGCCGCAGTTTCTTCAGAGGGGGTTTGCCATTGCCATCCTTTGAGGCTGAGAGAGTGTGACTTGCCTAAGGTCTCACACACTCCCAGTGGTTTTCCATGGCTGAGTCAGGATTGGAACTCTGGTCTCCAGAGTCCTAGTCCAACCCATGCTCGAAATACTGTTCTACCCCACCTTGGCTCTAGTTAATAACTAGTTACTCCTGAAAAGAGAAGGCTGACTTCCCACGTGGCAGCCTCTGGGATTTCGACGACTTTGAGATGGGAGGTTCAGACTGGAATCTCAGCTGCTAAAATCTCTGGGGTCAAGAGTGTGGGAAAGGGAGGGGTTCTAGGAGTTGTAATCCCACCCCCCAAAAAGTAACTTTTCATGGGTCTTCTTGAGACCTATGTCTTCAGGAATGAGGAAGAGGAGGAGCAGATTTAAAGGAATGCAATCTGATTTTTTTTTTTTTTACATGTTAAAGCAGAGGCTGGGCTTGCCACATCCTTTGGCAAGAGAAAAATGGACCGCCTCAGGCAGCAGATTTTGGGTGGCAGCCTATTGGTTGGTTAGTCCCAACTTTGTTGTCATATGCCTTAAAGTCGTTTCTGATGTATGGGGACCCTAAGGAGACCCTATCATTAAATTTTTTGTTTTATTTTTTGCAAGATTTGTTCAGAGGGGGTTTTCCATTGCCATCCTCTGAGGCTGAGACAGTGTGACTTGACCAAGGTCATCCCAATGGGTTTACATGGCTGAGCTTGGATTCGAACCCTGGTCTCCATAGCAAGTACAGAGTTATCATCCAACACTCAAACCACACGAGCATACCTATTCAATTCAATCGTTGAGCAAATTTTAATCATAGTAATATTATATTTCTTTTTTAGTTTATGTACATTAATATTTTCTCTGTGTGTGTGTGTTGTGTACCTTCAAGTCCTTTCCGGCTTATGGCAACTCTAGGGCCATATCATGGGGTTTACTTGGCAAGTTTCTTCAGAAGGGGTTTGCCATTGCCATCCTCTGAGGTTGAGAGAGTGTGACTTGCCCAAGGTCATTCCAGTGGGTTTACATGACTGAGCCGGAATTCGAACCCTGGTCTCCAGGGTCCTAGTCCAATGCTCATACCACTATAACCATGCTGAGTCCCCCATGAGTGTTTCAGCCATATCTTTTTAAAGTATTGTAGGGTATATCTATTCGGTTGTTGAGCAGATTTTAAGAATACATCCAGTCCGTAACACCGTATCCACAGATTTGACTATCCATAGTTTAAATATATTTAAATAAATTCCAAAAAGCAACCTTGATTTTATAATTTTATATAAGGGACACCATTTTACTTTGCCATTCTATTTAATGGGACTTGAGCATTCACTGATTTTGGTATCTATGAGGGCTCCTGGAACCAAATCCCATCAAATACCAAAAGTCCAAAACACACTGTAGAAATAATCCAATTTGAGATCACTTTAACAGCCCTGGCTGGTGTTTAGGGAATTCTACTACAGTTCCCACAATTCCCTAGCATTGAGCCAGGGCCATTAAAGTGGTCTCAAACTGGATTATTTCTGCAGTGTGTTTTAGATCAATCAGCCTTTGCAGACTGCCAGAAATAGTGCAAATTGAGTCCACTT